CTTAGTGTATGATTTGTAGGTATGCATATTTTAAAGTCTTCACAAAACTAACATCAATAACCATGTCACCCTGTGTACTTTCAAATACTAAGTTTAACAAAGGTTTGGATTTTTGCTTAGAGAATCTGAAGAGCCAAGATGAAGAGTTTGCCTGCAAGAACTGACAAATTGCAAAGTAATTTTCCAAAATAGGCAGAAAAGAGCTGCTGATTCTTTACTGCCTTTGCCAATAGATAATCAGTTTCACTACTGACAGCTTTAATTTGCAGATAAGAATCTTCAAGGATACTTTTGGTGGATGCTGTTTAGAAAATAGTCTCCTTGTCATCTTATAATTGTATTACCAACTTTTTTAGGTAGCTGTTGCAATTGCATTTCATGATGAAAAGGAGAACTTTAAGCATCTGAGATCCCCTTCACTTTGTCAATGGTAATTCTGCAGTGTAGTTTTTGGTTTTTTTTTAAATAATATTTTATGGGTAACTAAAGGATTATGAAGCTGAAGTGCTAAGGCTTGGACAACCAGCCCAAGCCAGAGTTGACCTATAGATGAATCCTTTATATTTTGTAACTGATAACCATTGTGCTAGTAGGTATTGTACTAAGTTATAACAACCCACTTATGCTGATGTAAAAAGTGCTGAATCATTGAAATACTGAAGCCAGAACAACAGGCCCCAAGCCGAAGCTGCTAACTTAGTATGTAATCATTAACAAAGTATTGAAGCTCGCTAGTGAAAGATGCAGTTTAGACAAAATATAATCAGTAGTGAGGAGAGAATGTATCCAGCTTCCCTTGTTTAGCCTTGTTCAAGGCTGAGAACCCAAGTATCAGCCTTGTTAGAAACTCCCTTGGTTTCCCCCCTGAGCCCTGGCCAGGCTTTGGGTGGAATCCAAAGGAGAATGAAACCAGACATTTTCCGCTCAAAACAAATGTGCCAGCTATTCTGGCTTGTCGATCTCTGGTATATAAGGCTGGACCCGCTCACAGAGACTTTGGAAGCCTCACCTACGGGTGGTTACACCGTGTAGGATTTCCCACTTAACGGGACAGGCTCCCCAAACCCTCGCTGTAACCGGGGCTCCCCAGCCACTGCGGGTCTGCGTGATGGTAACATATGCAAGTGGTGATGGATCTTTTCTTAATCTCTATTCTCTCTCTCATGTAGTAATGATTTGATGCATTACCCTGTATTTTCCTGTTTATTGCTTTAAGTTCACTATTCTGCTTTTTCTTACTGCATGTTTTCTGTTATTACACTGTTACATTGGCTATCACCAGTAAAATACTCTTTTCACTCTGGTGTACACGTTTAATTAGTATCCTTAATCAGCAAAACAGAAGCTTTCTATGTTTTTGTTTTCCTAAAGGGATTGTCCATTTTAGGTTCAAAGCAATAATTACATATCTTAAACTTCCCATGTATGTATCTTCCCATCCACTCTTTTCAGGAGGTGAGATCATAGTCTTCAGCTTGCTTTGAAGCCAAAGTTGCTCAGTTAGTCCTGCTTGAATTACTAGTCCCTTTTCTTTTATAAAGATGATTTTCTTCTTAGTCTTAGAAAGGGAATTTATTCTCTGTCCTGTCTTCATGGGGTTGCGCTTCAGTCTTAGGAGGCTTCTGACAGTTTCACCAATGTTATTGGTAGTCCTCTTTCCTTACAGGCTTCCTTGGCAGCTTTTCTTAAATTGGCTGGTTATTAGTTTTAATACACTCTGAATGAAAGAAATGAGCACTGTAAATACAGACAGGATGCAACTAATTGTACACACATACACACATATATAAAAAAGAAGATTGACTTTCATCTGGGATTTTAAAGTGGAACTCAACTGTGGAATCATAAGCAGCACTTTCATAGTGCATCTATGCAATGCAATATGAATATTACCTATAATTACACTGGACTGTGAGAATACATTATTGACATCAATATGTTCACATTTTCTGAACTTTCAATGTTTTCTGGAAAACTGTTCAGACCTGTGCTGATGCACTGCAGTAAACATGATAAATGTATGAATTAAATAACACAAAGAAAATTCAGTGACTTCTGTAGCTGTTTTGACAGCATATCGTATATGAAATTTTATCTTATGTTTACATGTGTGGTGATCCTAATCAACAGCTTTTTGTGAAGTACATGGACCTCAAGTTAATAGTTTGCAGCCACACCTTTACCACTTCTTTGGACATTGCAAAACACACCTTTCTGCAGGAGCCATGTCACAGTAATACATACACAACTTTAAAGAAAAGAAGGAGTCAGAAAATTTGACAACCCAAAATACTAGATCTAGAAGAGCCAACAAGCAGATGTAAAACCGGAAAAGCAACTGTATTGGGTCAGACCAAAGTTCCATCTAACCCAGTATGTTCTCTCTCACAGGGACAGTCAATGCTCAAGGGGGAAAAAAAAAAAAAAAACAGTTGTAAGCATGTAGAGCTACGTCCCCCAAGTATTCTATTAGCCTTTAGTTGCTTGTAGTTTAGGGACTTTCTCATTTCTCTGTGTTTAGTGGCCCTGAGATTATTTTTTTTCATTAATTAGTCCAGTCTCTACTGAAGCCCATGTGAACTTTTAGCATCCGAATCATCCCATTGCAAGAAGTTTCACAGCTTAACTCTGTTTTGCATGAAGAATCATTTCCTCTTGCTTGTTTTGAATGTGCCATCTCTAAGCTTCTTTTGATATCCCCTACCTTCTAACAACTCATTACTGTTTTCAGCATTCACATACTGTGACAGTGGCTGCTAGAAATTCCTTAGATGAATGAGGTGTTTTATAATAATAATTGTTTTGATTTTTAACATCTGGAATCTAAAATATATATATATATATATATATACATATATATGTATGTATATACACACACTCTGGGTGTTTTGGTCTTTGGGAGCAGATGTTCAGTGTAAATTCCTTTCAGCATGTTTCTGGTTTTGTCTCTGACATCGTACTGTAATGGATTAAAATAAGCAATTTGGCAACTACTCAGGTCTTTAAATAAACATTAATATGTTGGAGAACTATTGCATCTCTTGTGGCGCCAGATCAGAAGCTATCTATTCATGGTTCTTTTTCTCTTGTACAAGGGTTGTTTGCCCCCTTTTTATTTTTTAATATCTTAGCGTATTTATCACTTTTTCAGTAAACAAAATGCACAAGAATAATGCTAGTTTTTTTCTTTTCTTTAGCATAAGCATAGTAAATCAAATCCAAAGTAGATTTTGCTTCTGATATCTCATTATCAAGAAAATAATTCTTTCTGGATTACTTTGTTTTCAAAAACTCCCTTCATATATTTTGTCAGGAGATGCTTAAAATGTTGTAGAACAATTTAGAGATAGATGAATCCAGGGAACATTTTGTAATTGACAGCTAGTGAAAGAAAAAAGTTTGACAGTCTAATCTGATTTATTTGTCATATATCCTGTCAACTACAGACACTCATGAGTTCTGGTTTGGTTGGCTATCTGTATATTACAGTCAGTAACTGATTTCATCACTATTTAATTTGTGATTCTAATAATTTTTTATAATTTTATTCAGGTTTTTTTTCCTTTCACAGTCAAGTGAAAATTCAAAATAACTGTGTCCTCCATAATTTTTACCTCATTGTTTATAGCTAGTGTGAAGTATAAAATCTTAGAGCATCTAAAATATTTTGCAAGTTCAGGGTAGTTCACAGTAATCAACAAGAAATTGAATTAGAAATGTGGAAATAGATTTTTAGTATTTTTGTCTTTTGAGACAGAGCTGTACAAGGGAAATGCATGATAGTCAACTGTGAGTATCAATATAAATTTTAAACATTCGATACCTGCAATTTTACTTTTAATATCAAGGTAAAAATGAAATGTATTTATATTTCAGACATCAGCACATCAAAGGGGTCTCACAAGAAAAATATGACTGTCTTCATAAATAGTGCAAGAAATTTTGCCATATATTAATAAGAAAAAAATGCTTTATTTGCATGTAAACCAGTAGTGGAAGCTATATCACCATAATTTATGGGACTGCTTTTTTTCATTGCATTAAAAGCCCTCTCCTTTAGTACAAAATCAGGACCAAAAATCTCGAAATATATTGAGTCACAACATGAAAATTCTGTTGGTCAGCCATGGCTCCTGAGCTGTATGTCAGCTGCAGCTGAGTCCCATGTTTCCTCCACAGTGTCCAGCTATACCACTGTCATTAAGCTGATCTACTGTTTAGTGGAAATCAGGTGGAGGTTAACATTGAGAGTGTGGTGTATTGGAGAAAGTTATTTGCACCAGACTTTTGTTAGGCATTTCTGCAAGTAGAAGAGGTGTGAAAAAAAGATGACTGAGTCTGCATATAATTTCAAGCTATGCCATTGCATAGCTTTTGCTGTTCCACAGAAGCTTCTTATACAGACACAGTTCCAACAGAAAAGTGTGGTTTTACCTATGTAGTTTCATGTGTTTTCATAATAAATGAAGATTTTACTACACTGATATAAGCACAGGTTCTCCTGCATACCCTTATCCAAGATAGGAGTAGTCTGATAGTTTAGTATAGCAGTATTCTCAAAATAAAAAAGACTCCTGAATGCTTACCTGAGTTTGTGTTTGCAATTAGTGAAGTTGTATGTGAAATATTTTTAGATTCTTTCACTGTAATGTATAAATATTCACAGTTCCTGACATCTAGTCTTTTAAAAGAAATATCATCCTTGCAAAAAATCATCAGCCAAAGGAACAAGTATACAGAGGTAATATAAATAGTGATAAATATGATCAACTAATATTGAATAATGGAGCAAGTCAAGACATGAAAAAGTCCTTGAGTTCTAGATAGTTTAAATTCCATTGAATCTAGAATACTTACCTTAGAGTATATTGTATTACTGAAGACAGCTGCTATATAATTAAGAATTATTGTTCATTATACTTTGGTTCTATACAAAGTTAATAATGGAAAATATGTTACACCTTATATATTAATTATCTCCCCATTTTTTTATTCTTTAGTGTCTTGGCAGGCTATAACGGTACTATCTTTGCATATGGTCAGACAGGTAGTGGGAAAACTTTTACCATCACAGGAGGAGCAGAATGTTACAGTGATCGAGGCATCATTCCTAGGACTCTATCTTATATTTTTGATCAATTGCAGAAGGTATGGAACATTGTTTTCTGTTTAATGTCTGGTTTACAAATACTTAACTATATTGCAGAAGGCTGATTTTATAATAGTGTTAGAGGAAGCCCTAAAATTACTGCTGAAGAAAATATCCAACTTGACATGATACTTTATGCAAGAATACATTGGTAATAGTTTTGGTTACCTGGTTTGTTGCAGTAGACTGAAAATAATGGACATCATTGGAGGTTTTTGTCTAGTTTTAAAAACCATGCTATTTTCAGATGGTGCAATGTACATTCAGATCACGTGATTGGTTCTTTAAGTATTTGAAAGAAAATACTTATATTAATTTTCCTTCTCTACTGTTTTCCTGTTAACTTTGATTATGCACTTGTATGGAATGTTTTAATGTCTATATGTTATTAGTAATAAAAGTCTGATTCACTGGATAGAGTTGGATAGAAACATTGTTATGCACATTTCTTAACATAATTACACATGTATAACATATGAACAAGTAAACATGTAAATAGCAAAATGTCACAAATATTGTTTATTTATATCATTATCATCATTATTGCTGTTATTAATTATTCCTCATGAATTCTTCCCAAAAGGAAGAAAAAAAATTTTTTTAATCCCTTGGTCTGTTTTTAAAACAGCATCAATACCTAAACACTAGTTAACAGTGTCTGGAAAAACACTTTCAAAGGTAGTAAACTGTATTCTGAAAAGCAGTTTTGCATGTGCTTTGCATCTGAAACTTACAGTGGATAAGTAGTCACTACACCCATATAAATACTGACTTGGCTTCACCGAACATTTGGGCAGTAGTAAATACTGCTGCATATGATTTCTCTGTCTCTTCACTTTTTCCTGATCTTATAGTATTTCTGAGTCTTACAGTTCTGTCCCAGTTATTTCTTAGTGCTTTCCAGTTAATTTTTTTAATACTGCACAGAAGATTTTCCTGCCACTGACAGATCATTGCAACTGCTGTTTGAATACTGGTTTTTCCACAGCTTGTAGGGCAAAACACATCAGTCCAGCGTGGCAACTGACCTAAACCAAAGAGCTATAAAATTACTTTTTAGGTGAATCTAGTGATGTAAAAATGAATGGTATATTTCAACAACTCTAGCTGTGCCTTGCAGAAGTAGGGAGGAAAACAATACAAAATATTAAGATAATTTTGTGATCGGAAAAAGAAAAATACCTTGCAGAAATCATACATGGAATTGTTGCACTTACAAATTTGTTAGATCATTGTACCTCACTGAATTTGAAATATTTTACTCTTTTACTTTGAATCAGAAAGTAATTTGATACTGCTTCCTGTGGAAACAAAACAAAACACATCATGCCTGACAGAAAGAGAATTGTCAGAATTTGGGTGAAGGAGAAAACTGACTGCAATTTAATTATATGGTTCTTCTGGATCTACTATGCCCCCCCCCTAAACCACTCGAAAATTAATTTGGCAGCTTATTTATTTTATGTACAGAAAACATGGCATCAATTCAGTTTTACAGAAGGTAATAGTGACATTTAAAATACTACAAGTACCCTGTAATGTCTCAACATCTAAGAGCAATGATAGAAACAGAATAAATAAGAATTATAAAAAAAAACAACTTAAAAAGTCTTACCACACCTGAAGTGTTCCTTATTATCTGCTTACACTATATTTTCTAATAAGTAAATTATAATTGTCATCTGAAATGCTTCAGAAACTCAAATAAGATGTCAGCAACAAAATTTCTCATTGAATAGAGAAGTTAATTTCAAGTTAGTCATTCTGAATCATAAGCTTTCTGAGTGACCTGCAGCCTATAAATTGGAAAGAAGGCTTAAGTAACATATCCTACTTTTTGCCACATATAGGAGGATGGTGAAAAACAAGAATCACTAGTTCATGATACAGTGATTGGCATCCCAGCTGTGGGGGGATGTGTGTGTTTATGTGTTAGGTTATAATTAAAATATTGTAGAATTATTTCACTTTGACATTTGTGTGCAATGAAATGAGTCAATAAGTGAAAGCATGCACAAGAGTAAGCACACTGATGATTGTTCATTACGTTTATGAGAAATTTAATTTCCTTATAGTAGCTGTAATACTGATATGAGTGAATAGTCAGTTGTTCTGGTGCTTTCGTAACTATAGGGGGCAAAAGTGAAAAGAGGAAGAGAGAAGTCTAGTGTAAAATGTTTTGTCTCTTCATTTATTCCATTAGGCCTATGACTCATTTAAGATTAATATTCACATTTTAATGAAGGTATATAATTAAACAAATTTAAATATTATTTGACAGTAACATCAATCATTACTTTTATACTCTGTCATTCATCTGATACAGGGTATTCATACTCATAAGGCTATATCTCTCAGTGACAGGAAAAAGCCCTGTCTGAGTAAGGGTTAACAATATTAAGTAATTACCTTGGCTCTTTCAGAGTATGGCTTTGGCAGATAAATGTACACATCATATTTCAGGTGCACAAAAGCTTCCTCTTATGGGAATGAAAATAAAAAAACCCCAACAACCACATGATCATGTTGCCTTAGACCTTCTGTTGCATGACCCCACGGAGGACTTTTGTTGTGGACAGTGAACAGATTGATCTTGCAGTTGCCAGCAACATATAGTATCAACATTCTTTTCTAGTGCTAATTATGTAATAAAAACAAAATAGGATGAAAAAGAAATAGTTTATTTGCCACCTTCTCAGCACATAGTTTCTACAAAAATAAAAATGTTTGTGTTTCCATTTTCAGACTGGGTTTTGGATCAAGAATTCTACTTAGTTAAGCATAAAGGGATATTTCTGTCTGTCTGCTTTCAAATATTTGTGGTTGCGTCATACATTTTCTTTCTTGGTGCATCTTAAAGCATCTCTTCTTGGTGTTTTTTCTTTCCACCTGCCTTTATTGTTTCACTTCTTTTTATCTACAATTGTGCTTTGGAAAGGGCTGACATAGCAAAGAAGAGTCATCTGCCTCCTAACCCTAAGTAGGATGGAGAAAGTGAATTCACGGGCACAAAATACAAGACTTCTGAATCTCTTACTTGTGCTGAGACAGTGCAGTTTGAAACCAAGGAAGCAAAACTTTTTACCCCAAAAAAGAAGCAAATCAAGCCTTTTGTTTTTAGTAACATCTCTTTTTAATTTATTGGTCAGAAATTCTCCTATTTGCACAGCTTCCTGTTAGAACGCTTTACATTTTTTCCATCTGTTGTGTATCTATTTAAATGGTGTCTGCTGAAATAGTGAATTGTCATTATCAATTTAAAAACCATTGGAAATAACTATTTAATGAAAATGAAAAGTTTGTATCTCAAAGTATTTTGCAAAACTGTAGTGGATTGGATTATTAAACTGCGAGTCTGATATGAGTGCTTTTACTGTGGCTTCATCAGCTAAAAAGAAGTGACTAATTTTCCTTTATTCTGGAAATCATAGCCCATTATTTTGAGGTTTATGTTTTTGGATTTGGCTTTGGGGCAGGAGAAAATTATGTCTGCAGAACCCAGTTGTGTTAAGTTACATTTTGGCAATGTATTATACAAAAAAAGAGGATTACAGAGAACAGCTGACATCATATACAGTGCTTAAATGTTATGATGAAGAGAGTGGAAAGCAGTACATCAGTGATGTTACTAAACACAATTTTTGATTTATTTTTGTTGTTGTTCTTTATTTTTATTAAACATAGTCTTTCTATCCATAATATGAGGATTTACCTCGTTATAATGACCTACATTTTTTGTCATGGAAGTGAAAAATGACATGTTGCATGGTTCTGTAAGCAGGTTGCCATGTTCTAAATGTATACAGACTTTTCTAGATATAAGGAACCAGTCAAAAATCTCAGACTAAACTCATGGGCATGGTGGGGTTTTGGGGGGATTTTTGATTTGGGTTTGTTTGTGTGTGTTTTGGTTGGAGCTTTTTTTTTTTTTTTTTCTTCTTGAGCATTTATACAGATGATAACAGAAAATATAAAAGCATCACAAATTGCAAATGTAAACCATAGCCAGGAAAAGAAAAAGAGACAGAGTGAGAAAGCCACGTAAAAGCTGTAGTGATAAATTTTTTCTCTGATCTAGATTTGACTTCTCTTTATAGCTCTTCCTTTTTTCTATTTTTTTTCTTTTTTCTTATCCAGGATAGCAGTAAAGTGTATACAACTCACGTTTCCTACTTAGAAATCTACAATGAATGTGGTTATGATCTGCTGGACTCAAGACATGAGGCCTCCAGATTGGAAGATTTGACGTAAGTAATAAAAATTACAGAGAATCATCAAAAACAACAACAAAAATCATTTTCATATGCCCTGTTACACTGTTTGGGGACATTTTTGAAACTGTGCTACTGTTCTCAGTGATGATTAACTCAAAAGACTTTGTTTTCACAAGTTTATCAACATTGTGTAAATTTTCTCTTATTTTGTGTGTATGGAGGCTAGAGAAACTAGATGGGAGTGACTGAAGGTGAAAGTATTGAAAATTTATATTCGTATTATCCAGAAGAGATCTATTGCAGCCACTAGAAACAAAAGAGAAGGTGTACTTGTTTTTCTCATGACAGCCTGTGTCTTTATATGGTAGGCATGTCTCTGTGTGTGGCAGACACATATGTAACAGGCAGTATTTCCTTGCAACAGTAGGGAGAAAAACTTCCTCCTGCTTCTTGGACTTTTTCATTCAATTATTTAATAATTATTTTTCTATAATAAGCAATTATGAAATGAGCTAAGTAACAGATAGAAACTCCACAAGGAACTCCAAAGGACAATATATTTACTTCAGAATGGATGATTGTTATCATAGTTTTCATTCATGAGACATTAGCACCTACTGATACTTGGAGAAGGGTAGTGAATAAAGATTTGTAGGTCATGAACTCACAAACGGTGAAGTTAAAGATCTTATAATTTATAGGAAATCCAAATCATAGTTTCTAAATTGCTTCTGAAATAATAGTTTATAATCTGTGCTATTCTTAAAATAACTCAGCAAACAGTAAAAATGTATGAGTTGTTGCTTGGATTTGTAGATGGACTGAAATAATGCTGGGAACCATACATTGTCTCTCTCAACATGACGGTGACTGAAACATGTACATAGCAAGTAAATCACTGCTCTTATAAGAGCAGGAAACATACTGGAAACTGCTAATGGAGCAATAACGCAAAATCAATAGAATTTTATCTCAAAATAGCTAATTATGTTATTAACATATTAAACCCATTTTATTTATTTTTTAAAAAATCCAAGTTGTTTTAAAATATAGCTTTAGTTTTCCACTATGATATGTGGTATCCAGGATATATATCTATAAAAAAACTTTCAAGACTGATCTTTGTAAAACAAGTGAGTCTAGAGATAAGGAAGGCAGCAGACAAACTCAAAGTATGAGACTGGGCTGTAAATAGGTCTTATTCCTTTGCTTTCTTCATCTGTAATATGGAACTAAATTTTATCACTTTATGAGACATTGGTGCTTTAAGGACTGTATGTATTTACTGATGTTTTTCATAGTAAATTTAGGAATTTGTTTTATTATCTGCTTCCCATGCTATGCAGAGAAAAATTTGAATGAGTCACTATTTTGGATAATAATTTAATTTTTGTGGCCGTTTTTACAGGTGCAGATTTTTTTTGCCGTTGTGTGTAAAAAACAGTCTGTTATACTTTTATTCAGCTATTAAAATTAATGCTATGAAGTTATTCAAGGTTATTAAATTATTAATTTCATTTATTTATTTGCAATATTTTATTTGAACTAATTTCATTTATTCATTTTATTACATTGAATTTATTCAATTGTATTAAATTTTATTAATTTAATTGCAACTTTATTTCAAATAGTTATTTGGGGGTCATATGCTCCAGAAAATATGTCACTTTTTAAAACGAGGTTCTGAATGTTTACTCATAATCATGAATTTTAGAAGCTTGAAATTGGTTTATGTATGTGAAATGCTGAGGTTTCAAGCCCAAGCCCCAAATTAAGGTTGACATGTGGGTGATTCCCACAGCCCTTCCCAAAGGGGGGTGAGTTTGCCTTTAGGCTTCCCTTCAGGGTGCGGCCGGCCTGGCAGGGAGAGCCATAGGGTAAATGAGCCCCAGGTGTCCCACATGAAGTAAACAAAGGTCAGGTGTCCCACTTAGGGATAAAAGCTGGGACCCCTTGCAGGAAGGGGCAGTGTCTGACTGTGAGGTGGATGCACTGTGCAGAGTTCTCTGTTGGGGAAGGACCTCCTGCCTCCCTGGAACTGGGCTCCAGTCAGGTCTGGCTTTTGTAAGCGTGGGCTGTGTAGAGATTCATTCAGTATGTGGCTCCTTGGTCTTATGTATTTGGCTTGTTGACTTGGTTGTCTCCTGTCCCTTCTATGGGAGACTGTATTTCACTATTTATTCCACTCACTGTTGGTTGTGTGGTGTCACTGTTGGGGTCAGTGGGATTGATGTTGATTATGTATAATCTGATTGACTTGTTTGTGCCCCCAGCACTCACCCATGTACTGAACCTTTTGTATAAAATACAATTTGGTTATTGGTTCATCTTTATTCTGGCTGTGTCCTTTATGCTAGGCCTGTTAAATGGCAAAACAGTATGGTCATTCAATTAAGCTAAAGTGTAACTCCTTGTTATGTATTACTCTAATTTTAAAAAGTAATAGTTGACAGACAACTGTGTTGGAACAGTTTTTATCTAGTTCCTTCAAAAGAAGGGGATGCAATTTTAATCAAAGATACATACTTCTGCTTAGCAAACTATGTTAATGATGTTACATTATCAGTTTAGTGGAAGGAATAAATGCCGAGCGATGGCATTCAGGTAACAGAAGTTATAAAAAGTGCACAACAGACTTGTTGGTAGTGCTTGAAAAATGAGACATTAAAGTTGTATTTGATGTTTAATGCAAAATTAATAATAAAATTTTTTTTAATTGCCCATTGCATCTAATCATTGCATGATTAGATTTGGTATCTTAGCTCCTGAAGTCAAGGTTTTGTGTGTAGCCCTACTTTATATATTTTGTAGACTCTTAAATTTTCATCTTCATACTGCTTAATCATTTCATGGAAGCCTGCCAGATGAACAGGGAAGAGGCTGTCACCAAAAATCACTACTCTTCTGGAAATTCCTGATAAATGTGTGCATGTAGTTCATATATTTATAATTTTTTTCTCTCTCCTCCCCTTCTCCCACATAGAAGTATCTTTCAGTGTTCTGAGAATTACCAGTGTTTTAAAATTTCTATGGCTAATAATATTATCTCTCTATTCATGTGAAATACATTCTTACAAATCATGAAATAGATCCTCTTGGAAACTAAGCTAGGGGAATGGAAAATAAGGAGGTGATTAGTAACAGCCAACATAGCTTCACTGAGGGCAAATCGTGCCTGACAAATCTGGTGGCCTTCTATAACAGGGTTACAGCATTGGTGGACAAGGGAAGAACAACTGATGTCATCTACCTGGACTTTTGCAAAGCATTTGCCACTATCCCACAGGACATCCTTGTCTGTGAATTGGAGAGCCATGGATTTGACAGATGGACCACTCAGTGAATAAGGAATTTCCTGGATGGTCACACTCAGAGTTGTGGTCAATGGCTCGATGTCCAAGTGGAGAGCAGTGACGAGTGTTGTTCCTCAGGGGTCGGTGCTGGGATCAGCACTGTTTAAAATCTTTGTTGGAGACATGTACAGTAGGATCAAGTGCACCCTCAGCAAGGTTGCTGATCCAAGCTGTGTGGTGGTGTCAACATGCTGGAGGGAAGGGATGTGCCATCCAGTGGGACCTGGACAGGCTTGAGAGGTGGGACCATGTGAAACTCGTGAAGTTCAACAAGGCCAAGTGCATGGTCCTGCACATGGGTTGGGGAAATCCCAAGCACGAACACAGTCTGGGAGATGAGTGGATTGAGAGCAGCCCTTCAGAGAAGAAATTGGGGGTATTAGTGGATGGAAAACTGACTATGAGGCAGCCGTGTGTGCTCACAGCCCAGAAGGCCAACTGTATCCTGGATGCATCAAGTGAAGTGTGGCCAGTAGGTCGAGGGAGGGGATTCTCCCCCTCTATCCCTCTCATGAGACCCCACCTGGAGTCCTGTGTCCAGCTCTGGGGCCCTCAACATAGAAAGGACATGGACCTGCTCAAGCGAGTGTAGAGGAGGCCATGAAGATGACCGAGGGGCTGGAGAAGCTCCCTTATGAGAAAGCTGAAAGAGCTGGGGTTGTTCAGCCTGGAGAAGGCTCCAGGGACACCTTAGAGCAGCCTTGTAGTGCTTTAAGGGGGCCTATGGGAAAGATGGGGGAGGGACTTTTTGCAAGGACATGTAGTGATAGGATGAAGGGTAATGACTTTAAACTGAGGGAGGATAGATTTAGATTATATATAAGGAAGAAATTCTCTACTTTGAGAGTGGCAAGACACTGGAACAGGTTGCCCAGAGAAGTTGTGGCTGCCCCCTCCCTGGTAGTGTTCAAGGCCAGGTTGGACGGGGCTTTGAGCAACCTGGTCTAGTGGAAGGTGTCCCTGCCCATGGTAGGGGGGTTGGAACTAGATGATTTTTAAGGTCCCTTCCAATCCAAACCATTCTAGGATTCTATGAAAATGAAGAGTGTTCAGTGTTACTACTGAATACTAAAGATTAGGAGAATACAAAGGTTTGTAAATTTAATCTTTAATAAAATGGCTTAAGGTAGCTGTTTTAATAAGACAGACTAAGAAGAGGTATACAGATGCAAGTAAACCTTACATCCCATCAGATGCTAGGCAACCCGAATTTGTGCAGCATCAGATGGAGCTTGAATGAATTTCCTCATGGCTCACTGTGCAGAGCAGCACAGCTCCTGTATGTAGAGAGAAGCTGCTCTCCTCTCTTGGTCATTTGAGATATTCTATAATTTCCTTACAAGAAAACAGCTCAGTTTCTAAAAGGTGCTCTCATGAGAACTTCTTATGGCAGTTTTTGATAAAGTCAAGAGCATGTTGATTGTGTAATGACCAGGTAGGATCTGCCCACCAGCTCTTCTGTTACTATGACCTGGCTGAATTTATCCTGCAGCCTATGGTCTGTGCAGCAGGACAGAGGCATGAATGACAGGCTGTGCATTTAGCACAGCACAGGCACTGTTACATGGATCTCTAACTCCTAAATGTGCAACAGCCTCTCAGTCAGTATCAGTACACTCCTATGTCCATAAAGGGTAGAAAAAGGAAACTGTGATTTTTTTTTTTTGGATTTTTTTTTTTTTCCTCTTGTCTCATGTAGAATTCATTGGAGACAGTGGGAAGGATTTCCTATGACAATGTGTTATGTCAGGAGATCAGTCTGCACCAATCTTATAGTTCTCTAATGTCTCACAAGCTAAGAAGATTATGCTCTAGGTCTGTACTTGAATGGAAGATCAAATCTCTGTGCTGTTGAAAGCTGTGCTGGTAGATGAATAACTTCGTAACTTTGCTTCTTGAATCAGTGTTCGCTTTGTCCTCTGATGTGGTATTCAGGGAGCTACAGTTCTGAAAGATACTTTTTTTGGGATGATATATAAAATTATGATCTTGGTCAGTCTTTCTTAAAACCTAAAGCTCCTTGCAACTTTACGCGAAGATTAGCTATAGTTATCCATTAGTTTGTTCTTCCAGACAGACTGAGATGCATGCTTACTGCTTTTCTCTTTTACCTTTTTCCTAAAATTATTATTGGTTGTATAGTCTCTTCCACATGCTGAAGTAGCAGCACTACATTCTGCTAATGTATTGTTATGGAAGGTATATATCCTCATGTTATTTGTTTACATCATTATGATTTTTAAATGTTCATAAATTTTTTTAGATTATCTTAGATTTCTTCAATTTTAAGCCCTGGAGACAGATATAATAATAGGAAACTTGAGATTCTAAATTGTCATATGTTTTCCAAAATATTTTAAGGTTTTTTTAAATTATTTATATTACATAAATTAATTAGATGGTATTAATTAATCAAAGGAAGCTTTAACTTCATTGTTTGCCAGTAACAGGAGTTTTATAAATGAAGACATTCAGTGTGTAAGGTGCCCATGCATTAATGGCAGGTCAGTTGATGCAGGAAAAGGCCTGAGGTAATAACAGTATTAGAGCTGATCCCATCCCATCCTACAGGTTTCCTAATCAGCTACAAATTCCATCTATTAAGCCAAATGGGAAAGATTATTTGTTTAGAAAGAAAAAAAAAACTTGTCTCTGCCTTCTTTGAGTCATTATGGATAACATAACAGAGCTTTTCCACTCCAAGATCCAACTTAGGGCTATGAAATGCAAAGATTTCACTAATACAGAGAATGTTCTGTAGAAATCTATTATCATATTATACAGTAACTTTATAGCACTATAAAATTTGTTGTCATTTTGGAACATGTCTTTCTGAGAAGGTTTTGACAGATGCCTCAAGATGTGCAAATTTAGATTTCCATCTGGAAATCCTCCTGATAGGTGCAAGGCCACTGTATAAGAGGCTGTCACTGGTTTGACGTCTCCACTGTCTCATTTCTGATATCATAATCCTCCAGAACTTTTCATCCAAGCTAATACCTTCATTGTCTGGAAATTATTTATAACTATTTGTCAAAATGTAGTCTGAAAATATCCTTAGAAGTTGAAATAATATGCCAAGTGTACATAGCAAAGCAACATTGTTTTCCTAAATTAAAAAAAAAAAGTAGATTATGCTTATCATGCAATTTCAAAATAAAATCAGCCAAAGCATCATGCTGTGACCAGAACCACTGGGTTTTAGCAGGTGATGCACGTACAGATGGAATTGTGGACAGAATACAACTTGACATCATCAAAACGTTTTTATGCAGGAGCAGAATTATGTTTTTGTTTATGCTCTGAATGGGGGAAGCAGAGTTCTATGACTGTCCTAGTGCTATGTTACTCTACTGCACAAAAATAAAGCTATAAGGGGGAGGCAATCATACTTGGAAAAACAATTGTTATGACTACTAATTAGCATTGTGTGTACTTTTACATGTATTTGTTTCTTGAAAATAGTGAGTCTATTGCAATGTGTTCACATTATTTCCTTATATCCATTCCAATGTTTTGACCATCAGAGGGTGAACTGTTTCCCTAATACTTTAGAGTAATACTATGGAATGCTGCTTAGCTGCTCATTTTGATCCCGTCAGCTTCGGGTGAAAAAAAAACAAAGCAGAACAAAATTGAACCTGTGTGGTTTTGAAGCAGCTTGGAGTAATTAACATGCAAGAACTATCTAGAGATAAAAACTCAAGCCCTGTACTCCCTCTTGTGGTTAACCTTGATGAATATGAAAAAACAGATATCTATACATATATATATATGTCTACTTAAAGTTTAAAACTTTTTAAAATTCTTCTAACTTTTAATAAAGTCCTAATTTGCTTGTTGTAAGATGTTTCAGAACATGTCCTTCAGAGTGATTTACATGTCATTCATCCTCAGAATTAGTGTACTTCAGTTTTAACAGTCTTCACTCTTGGAGTTTTCAAATCCAGTGATGCAACTATTTGGCTTCCATGTTGGATAGAATCACAGAAACACAGAATCAAGGTTGGAAAAGACCTTGAAGATCATCCAGTCCAACCATTAACCTCGTACTGACTCTTCCCAACTACACCATATCCCTCAGCGCTATGTTGACTCTACTCTTAAACACCTCCAGGAATGGGGACTCCACCACCTCCCTGGGCAGCCCATTCCAATGCCTAACAACTCGTTCTGTAAAGAAATGCTTCCTAACATCTAGTCTAAACCTTCCCTGGCACAACTTGAGGCCATTCCCTCTTGTCCTATCGCTTATTACTTGTTTAAAGAGGCTCATCCCCAGCTCTCTGCAACCTCCCTTCAGGCAGCTGTAGAGGGCGATGAGGTCTCCTCTCAGCCTCCTCTTCTCCAGACTAAACACCCCCAGTTCCCTCAGCCGCTCCCCGTACGACCTGTGCTCCAGACCCTGCACCAGCTCCATTGCCCTTCTCTGGACACGCTCGAGTCATTCAATGTCCTTTTTGTAGTGAGGGGCCCAAAACTGAACACAGGAATCGAGGGGCGGCCTCCCCATTGCGGAGTACAGGGGTGAGATCCCTTCCCTGTCCCTGCTGGCCACGCTATTGCTGACACAAGCCAGGATGCCATTGGCCTTCTTGGCCACCTGGGCACACTGCTGGCTCCTGTTCAGCTGGCTGTCAATCAACATCCCCAGGACCCTCTCTGACTAGCAATACTATAGAATGTCTTAACTGAGAAGAGCCTAGTGGCTACTCAGTAAAGCCAATAAAGTTTAACTCTCAGTAATGTGATCAGAAGAAAAAATTCTTATATAAAAGGGCTATTTAAAAAAGTGGAAAGGAGTTTTGGTAATATTTAGTAGCTCTCCTGGAACTTTTGACACATCCTTCCTACTTCCATCTAACATCCTTTTTCTGAACTTTAAGGCTTAAAGAGGTACAACTAAGAGCATTTGTAACCTCAGTGGAAATAAATAAAATCATTCTGTTTGCTTTTAAGAAGGGATCATTTACATTTGTAGCTGTTATCATTTGAGAAGAATGAAGAGAAATAATCTTGACAATTGCAATGATATTAGAAACATGTTGGCTACAGATGTATTGATTTTGAAATATTCCATGCCTATTTGTTCATCAAGATTTTAGTATGCTTTATGTATCATTTGTGCTTCAATCACTGTGGTAATGGGAAACAAACCCCAATTTATTATTTGTTTGTGATGATTTGCCTTACCGCTTGCTCTTAAGATTTTACTATATCTCAAAAAAATCCAAAAGCTTTCTCTAATATAGATTTTATATATTCCTTTTCTATGTAGAAGTTTATTATAAAGGGATAAAAAGGGGGTGACAGATTTAAAAAAAAAAAAAATCAGCACTTCCTTTAATGTTCATGTTCTTAGTTCTTTTATTATGATTAGTTTTAGATGTCACCTTTTTAGTCTCAGTGAAATGAAAGTATGGAGCAAAGATCGTGTTACAACAGTTCTAGTTTTTGTTTGTTTTTTTGTTTTTTTTCCATGTAGAAAAGTGACAATAATGGAAGACCCTGATCAGAACATTCATCTGAAAAACTTGTCTCTTCAGCAAGCAACCAATGAAGAGGAAGCCTTAAACCTACTCTTCTTGGGAGACACCAACAGAATGATTGCTGAGGTGAGAATTGCTGTTACAAATCTTACTTAACACAACCAGAGTTAAAATGGTCATAAACTTTTCCACATAAGAGGCATATTTTGAAAGTCCTTGGAGATAAATGAGTGTTTTCTTTCTGAGTGTATTTTCACAGTGAAATTAAATAAACATTTCTCTGATGATAGCTTTCACTTTGCAAAGAGCTTTCTGGTTTTCTGTCGTGAATCTGACTGGTGGTTGTTGATGTCATAGCTTACTGCAATTAAAATAAGAAAAAAAAAAAAAAGTCTTATAAACCATAGAGTGAATTTTGAATGTGGCATGTATCCACATACATACACATTTAAAGATTAGAAAACATGGCCTTACAAAGCATTGTCAAATATTCCCACAGAAGTACTAAATTGCCTTTGATGTAGTTACAGTAAGAGTTTGCAGTGCCCTTTTTTTACTTCTTATTGCATAAACATGTGGTGTTATGTGTAAAAAAACAAATGGTAGTGCAACACGCATTCAGAATAAGTATTTGCCAACATGCAAAGCTGAGGGTGTTTTTACTGATTCTGGAAAATTCAAATGAAATGTCACTATATACAAAATCTGTAGGATTTTTTTCCCCTTATCTTCATACTGGGAAATGGAATGTAAATATGAAAAACATATCGTGAACACTGTCAATGGGTCTTTACTACAACACAGCTAATTCTATTTTAGAAATTTGTGGATTTTCTTCCTCTGAGTGACCAAAAAAGTTATATAATAAATCCATTACAAGAAAGACATTTAAAGTGGATGAAATAGTGAAGTAGTTCAGTGTTCCTGCTGGCTGACCATGGGCACAGGGAACAGGGCTGACCCTGGGCACAGGGGAAGAAGCATTTGATTACAAAATGTAAATAGGCAAAAATCTCATTTGTTCTCCCTTTCTCAAAGACGACTGTTTCAGCTGTGACATTCCAAGAAGCAGAAAGATGTTAAAGGCAAGAGATAATCAAGCTGTACTTAAGGGCTCTTAGTAAATATGAATATTGAGGTAAGGAACCATTTGATACTGAAATGGAAAAATTGATCAATTTAGAGGAGAGCAACTTGAAAAGTATAATAGAGGAGACAAAAAGGTGTAATTAAGTTCAGAAGCCTGAAAACCTATTATGATAGTTGGTAAGGAAAACAGAAGATGAATGTTCATTGCATTGAGAAAGATCGTCAGGAAATCTTAGAGGATCTGTGTATGAAAATGAGACAGAATATTTAAAAAATGGTGTAATGCTGGCTGACAGGATCATAAATCAGCAATTGTAAAGGGCAGTTGTGTTACATATTTGGAAAATGTTGCCTAAGGAGAAAATAGAACCCAAACACTGAAAGTTATGAACAAATAGCAGGACTAATGAAGATGATAAGTCATTAAAGGTCAAGATGAAGTAATGCTCAGTAAAACTAAAGAATATTCTTAATGGGTCAAACCAAAGATATGTCTTATTCAGTTTCCTGTTTTAAACAATGGACAATAGCAAATATATAAAGAAGAGTAAAAGATAAACCAGGTAAAGCATGATAGTTTTCTTTTTAAAAAAATCTAGTCTTCATTAGTTTGTGTTTCTGACTATTTACAGCTAATAACTTTTGTTGTATTTTTCTTTGCCCAGATGCTTTTTTCAACCTCAGCAAATTTTTGTCATGAAATCTCATGTGACACAAAGTTCTATGACTTAACTGCGTTGTGTGAAGAAAAATCTCCTTTAGTATATTTTTTTAATCTACAACTTGGTAGTTTTATTTGGGGCATACTAGTACTTGCTAGAAAACATAAGAATAGACATGAGAATGTCCCCAGTAACAGAGAATTCACTAAGCTGAGTGGCTTGGGTTAGTAAATGCTATGCCATTGCCACTTTTGCTGCTTTTGCCACGTTACGAGTTTTTTGTTATATAAACACTATAAAGTTATTGTTTCATTGGCCTTTAATGAAGAGAACTTATAAGAAAAAAATGCAGACAATACTTGCTTGGAATAGCTACCACCCATTGCAGCAATATTTACTTTGCTTAGTCTCAATGCTTATATGATTCCAAAAACTTCAAATGAGGTGGATTTTACTGCAGAAATTTTATTTATGTAGTTATCCCAGATATTGTTCCTTTGCAACTGGAGCAGGTACGTTGCAGTACAGTTCAGTGAGCTTACTGAGTGCTGCTTCCTCTTGGGCATTACAGGATTTATCATCCATTACCATTTGGCATTTTTGCCTTCAGGTGACTGGTACTTTATATGATGACATCAGAATGAGAAAACAGTGTTTGCAGAAATGAGAGATTAATGTAGAGGTCTTAGGACATCAACCATAACTTCTCCAGAGATCCATATTTTTAAACATTAATTGAGTTATGATAATGCTCTCTGACCTCAAAAAAGATTAGGACCCTGTTTAAGTAAACTTTAAAGAAAAACGCACAAGATTAATAAACCTAAATAGAAAAAGTAAAAGAAATGCTTGATTCATCTTTTTTAACAATGAGAAGTTTGACTGTAGAAAAATTAAGATGACTCTCATGGATCACATATGAAATCTGTGGCCTCTAAAATTGCAATCTGATGCTTTATGCCTGAGATAACCCTTCTCTGAAGTGTTGCAGGATCATTTTGAAAGTAAGAACGACAATTTAATTTCTGCAATGCCTCTGCTAGTGGAGTCTAACTTGTGATTTGATGGCTGCATTTTGCCCTCACCACTGACTGTGCTAAAAAGAAAGTGATGATAATATTAAAAGTAGTCTATAAGCTACATTCATTTATTCATTAAATATCAGAACCTAAAGTCACATTTATAACCAAATACTGCTTTCCCACACATAACTGTATAGCTCATAAGAAAGAAAAAAGAGGAAGCTAGTCTAGTTTTTGCAGGATTGGTTTATAGGTCAGTATAGGACCAATTCTTTGCTCTAATTTTGACATATACTGGCAGTTGTGAAAATGGTGATGAGAGACATCTGTGCACAAACACTTCATAATATAAAAATACAATTAGGAAGTTGTTTTCTTATATTTTGCCAGGGAGATATAGACAGAGAAGGAGCACAAAAACTTGATCATTTTATTGTCATCTTTTCCAACTATAAGGGCTATATTTTGGGGTTTTTACTTGTTTTTCCCATAAAACACAGTTTCTTGTTACATTTGAATGTATAAGAATCTGAACAACAGGTTATAAAACAAAATCTGAGTTTATCTTTTATATTTTAATTTTTAAGCCAACTTTATGATTTAGGTATTTCAAATACATGCAAATGAAGGATTCCAAAGTCTAATTTGCACACCTGACACGTGGTAGCAGCAGCATCTAAAAAACCTGATCTATGGAAATAAGAGTTTGGCCGTTTAGGTAGTGTTCATAAACTGTTTTATATTGGTAGATATGCTATTAATGTGTCTTCCACTGAAGTAGTCTTTTCTAAATTCTTGTGATGGGAATCTCTTGTGATTGCTGTCCTTTGAAATAATATGCCCAAACCTCTGTGATTTAGATAATTCTTTAGTATTTCTCTTAAAAAAGCAGAGTAAGGTAGACTCAGTAGCCTCCCAAGGGCATGCATCAATTTCAGAACTGTAAAATCTTTATGTGAGATTGATGTGTCTGAACACTGCAGTTGCATGTACAGTTAGCATTTTTTTTTCCTTTAATGAAAAATTACTTCATTTTAGTGAGTAAAGAAATGTTTTAGTGCATGGTTTTATACCTACAATACTCCATTGTTTAAATTTTGAAGACTGTGCATACTACACAGTATTTGTTCAACCATTTTAAATGTTTGAAGTGCACATGGGGCAAGCAGTAAGCTTTTGGCAATGTTTCAATAAGCTTATTTCAAGAAAGAATGAAACTTTTAAACATTTAAAGATAGTTGTGGGGACTGACTTGTGACCTCTGAATTGGATTCATTCCCTTTATATTTATTTTTATTGTCCATTAGTATTCTCTTGAATATTTTTATAAAGCCATTGGTAGTGTTTGAATGTGAGGTTTTTTGGATGAAATATGAAAAATAGGATTTGAATGTGTGAACATATGAGATTAAATGACACTTTTGCCAAGAAGGCATGTTATCTGTGTTAGGGCTGCATTCCAGAATGAATTACAACTTTCTGCTTTTCTAGGTTCCTCATTGATGTCAACTGTTAATCTACTTCCACTCTGACAAACCTGTTCTATAGTATCATTAGCACCAAATGGCATCATCATTTCAGCACAGGTGCTTTTGTTTCTATGTGTGGTAAAACAATCACTGCTCTTGTGTGCTACTTTGAATAGTCCTTAAGGCGTTTTGGGATTTACATGGATAAAAGTCACTCTTAATGTGAGGTTTAATAATATCCTCACCGGGGAATATTAATTACTTTAAAAATTACCTCAGTTACTATGGTCTAACTGTGAAACCATACTTGTGGTAAATAAGGAAAGGTAAAGTATTGCTTTTACAAGTCAGGGAAGTGTCAGATTGAACCCATTCCAATTCTTGTATTTTTATAGCAAGAAATCTGCAATTTCAGCTGGGTCAAGTGTACCTAAGTACACCTGATGAGCCCCTTCACTTGTATCATATTAATCAGAAAGGCAACTAAAGATACATCAAGATCTCACTCATCTACCAGATACAGTCAGGAACCTCCTATTCTTCAACTTACATACCCTTCCATATAGCATGGTTCTGTTGGTACTGGTGGAGTTTATATTAGTTGGACAGATGGATACATCCACTGTTTTTCAACAAAGAATCTCTGTTCCTTCAGCCTTGCAGAGACTTACAACATTCTGTGCTATAAACTGTGTAAAAACACCAGGATATTCTAAGGATGAGTTTCAACCAGAGAAACAGTGTGATATCACTTTACTATCATTTTTGTAGGACACAATGGCTCTTTTCTTACCACCTGAACTGTGAAAGCAATGAATTTGTCAGAACTTCTTCCTACAGCATCCATCTGATTGTAGTTAGATTAGAGAAAATCAATTTGATATCAGCCTTAGGTGCTCTCAGTGCTTTTCTCTTCTCCCTTGCCCTTCTTCAAGAAGTTCAAAAGTGAAAGAACCTTAAGATGAAAAAGAAACCCTCCTTAAAACTAAATTTAGTAACTTTTCATTGAGAAATTCTCTCTCAAAAAAAAAAAAAAAAAGGAACATTCAGAATCAGCCTTCATTTATGCCTTGGCTAGTCACTATTCACTTGGCTAATTCACTCATACAGGAAAATCATGTTCTTCTGATGTCTAAATATTTTGATTCAAGGAGAAGATTTTACTGAAATTATATAAACTGCCAAGTGGAGATGGTTTGCAATGTGGTCTGAATGACTGCATTTATCACCTGTGAAATCTTTTTGTCCCAGCTGTCCTGTTTTCTGTATTGTATCTGAGTGTATTTGGCATCCATAATCAACACATTTACTCTTCCAGACAGTAGCAGCTTCTGTTAGTTTAATGGTGATTTTGAAACAGCTTTTCATATGTTTTTCTCCTATTTAAGAAACTTTCTCCTTCTTAGGTCCTCAATCATTAAGAACTCTATTTAAATCAATAGTATGCTATTTCTAAATCCTACATAAATTCTTGTATAGGGGAGAACTGCACTGTTTTCTTGATTTAAGATAGGTAACAGATTAAGATGGATAACTTAGGCTCCAGCAGATTTTTGGACCTTTCTTGACCTTGTATTCCTTGACAGAAACATCTGACGACTTGGATGCTTCTTGCAATATGGTTGTACTGCATGTTCTCATTTAAGTAGAAACTACTTTCTTGCAACCAATGTATAAAAAGATGTAATGGTTTGTCACAATAAAGCTTCTATACAGTTTATTTATTTTCAGCAAATACAGGTATATCCTGGTCCTGGAGAAAAAGGAGACTGGGTTCTGTGGCTTGAAATCTCTCTTGTACGTATTTTCCAAGATCAAACAAAACACTGAAGCTTTACCAATCATGATCTTGAAAGCAATGTTATTGAATGCCTCTTTTACTGTTCCACAAAGGGCAGCGACAGATGACCTGGCATTAATTCCTTTGTAGTGTTCATGTGATATCACAAAGCATCTGAAGTCTGCTTATGTGGTTTATGATGTCACAGAATTCCTGGGAAAAAAATGTTTCTTTGTAAGTAACTGCAGCTCATCAGTTGTTCTATATATAACTTTCACAATAGTAACCATCTGCTGAGAGCCAGGCCACTCCCCTCTTTCTTTTTTCTCCTTCCTCACATCAAATTAGTGTGAGGATGATTTCATATACATATGGTTTGAATACTGCTAACAAAGCCAAAATGAGCTCTGAAAGCCACTAAAGTAGGCTCAGAGACACTGTCCAGAAAATTTTTGTTTGTTTGTTTTCAGTTTTCAAACTTTCTGAACAGCTGAGATGATACTCAGAAGTTGCATGTGTAAGATAGCAAAAAAAAAAACCAAACAAAAAAGGCTTATGTTTGGACTGAAGATGCTGACAAGTTCTCATTTCTGTTGTGGTGTGCTTTGCATCTACTTGTGTGGTAAAAGGAGCAAAGTGTGGGGGATTATGTCTGCAATTAACGTTTCACGATCACATCCCATTTAAATTTAAATTGCTTTGTGCTTCCTGCAAGAGTTCTAATAGAGATTTCTATATACAGGAACTGCAAAGTAAAGATAGAATCATATTGTAAAAAGACATCTTGGTGTATTGATTAAAGTGTGGTTCTACTCTGAAGGAGGACTTTATGAAAATAGTAATTTGGGATTGTAGCCAATTACTTCCAGATCAGCTTCACTCATTTTACATGAAAAAAGAATTAGTGAAAAGCTTAGAATTTCTAATGACCAGTCCAGCAGAATGCTTGGAACATGCAAAACCAGGGTTGTGAAATGATCCTTAGAAACCAAGCAATTAAACAGAGCCAGTGTCTTATATTATTTCAAAATTCCTCATCTGTATAAACTAATGATCAAAAACTCTTCTCCCTCTCCCTCTGAGTTTTGCTTTATTAGGTAAAGAAGCCCAAAATAAAATAGTCCTAAGGCTGTAATTTCATTACAGAATTTTCACAAACAACTGCAAGAGTACGCTATTCCTGCACGCCACCTATTTGCTCACATGCTGTATGCTGCCATTTTCAATTATTCTAGCAGAAGTGCTTTCTACAGCTGCCCTGTAACTGAATTGGGAAACTGATCCAGGTTAAATATCTATGGTTTGCAGTCTTTTTTCTTCTTTGAGCTGGATCAGTTCCCAAAACCAGTTCAGTTGTACTGGCAATATTAAGGCTGGAAAAAAATACTGGGAAATTGAAGGGGAGACAATACACCCAAGAGGTATAGCTGTTCATATTTTTTGTGGTAAAGGAATATTCAGATTGCAGTCTTTCTGTTAAGAGCTGTCTTTCCTGGATTTACAAGACAACACCTTCAACACCTGCAACAGGCAGGTTATTTTAGCATCGAGAATGTTTCATACCAAAGCAGACTCAGGAAGAAAAAGCAATTATGTTGGTATATCTAGTCTGAATCACAGGGTATGCCTAGATAAATAATTGCTCTAGAATAACAGAGGAATAAAATCTAGACAAGAGATTAATGTATACAGTTTAACCAGGATTTTTTTTATCATCTTTTTAAACAGCTATAAACAAGTATAGATTTAGTTGCTAACTCATAATAAATATTTATTAATTTATCTCACTACCCTATTTTTCTGCAAGTCAGGTATTTATGCCTTGATAGCAATGTAGTCAGACTTGTTATAGTTGATAAATAAAAATACTATTTGTACAGTATATCTATAATCTTCATATATATTCTAAAGCTTTAGCTATGTATAAAATAAGGATAATAAGGAATTATTTTAGATTTAAGTTTCCAATAACAGCTTGATATAACTAAATGTAAGAGGCTTTAGATGCTTAAAGATTCCTTTATATGTTGTTTAAGAAAAGAAAGGTATATGTGTGATGGTATGTGGTTATTTGAAATCTAAAATTAAATATCTCAGAGCTGTTTAAAATTTTCTGTTCTACATTTCACATATATTGGGAACATCACTGAAGTCATACTGAAGTTGGGCATCTCTAAAAATTGACCAAGAATTTCCATGTGTCTAGTTAAGGAAGTATGGTAATAGCTATTCCAAATCAATATATTTAAAGTCAAAACTTTTATGAAAACTCTGTTATACCACATAAAATTCTGATACTAATTTTGCCAAGTTTACTTTTTTTTTGTAAAAGTAATCAAAATGAGAAAGTCTAAAGCCTCATAAAAAGTCCTAGTCAGTTACACCAGTAGCTAGCTAGCTAAAAACACAATAAAAATGGACTTACCAATGGGGAAATTGATAACCTCTTGGAGATCAGGTACTTTCCCTCCAATCAAGGTGCCCTTTTCTAGTATTCTTCAGCATAGTAAGGCCACCTTCTTTGACGATGTACTCATTGTTAGAGTATCTTGAAACAAGGATAGTTGCTTGGTTGCTTGAAGTACAATTTGTCCAGATGAAAGTTATCCAAGTATTTGGCCAGAAGGCGGGTGCCAGGTAAATTCCTTTGGGTTCTTCTTGCGTATTTATTAGAGATGCAATAGTGAAAAAATTGCATAGGTGTTTATAACTGCCAGATTACTGAGCTATGAAAAGCTAAATTTATTTCTTAAATGAATATTGAGAACTCTTACTTTCTTTTTATTGCAGACACCAATGAATCAAGCCTCAACCCGATCTCACTGCATTTTCACTATTCACATCTCCAGCAAGGAACCTGGATCTGCAACTATCCGACACTCCAAGTTGCACTTAGTAGACCTTGCTGGATCAGAGCGTGTTGCAAAGACTGGAGTTGGAGGTCACTTATTGACAGAAGCCAAATATATCAACTTGTCGTTACATTATTTGGAACAGGTAAAATTAGAATAGAGTGCAACATTTCTCCTTTTACTACATTCCTGTTAAGCAATGTGCATTATATTTATATTTCCCTGATCTGCTGTGACATTTTGTATGCTAATGCTGTAAAACACCAAGCAAGGGTGTGATGGTTTGACTCTGGCTAAATGCCAGGTATCCACCAAGTTGCTCTATCACTTCCCCCCCACCCCCCACCCC